GTGCTTTCCATGTGCTCCCAGCACAGCTCTGCCCTTCTTGCAGGCTGCAGCCAAGGACTTCAGCTCTGCCCTGATGTTTCTCATGAAGCCCTGGAGGGTTTGTTGCCATTTTAAAGTTGCCTACCTTGGTGTTCTTGTCCTCAATGAAGCAGGAAAAGATGAGCCCCACAAAGCCTTGGTCCATCATCTGATACATGGCCTGTGTGCGGACATCTGCAGGACAGAAATGGGAGTGAGAGCTGCCCTGCTCCCCTGCAGGACAGGGAAATGCTCTGCCACCTTCTGAAGGGTGACTGGGATTTGGTAACAAATGTGACAAACTCTGTTTACATCCTCACTCTAGGTGACTTGAGTTTAAGTATAGAACTTGATCCAATTTAAAATGTAAATAGAAATTCTTAAAAATAGAATATGAGCTCGCAAAACCAAGAAATTATCTCACAGCCAGCTGCTGCCACAGGTCACCATGAGGTCCAACACATATAAGGTACTCAGGTAGTTCTGTTATGAGAGTTTTTAGCTATGCATTAACACTCACAGATACCAGAACTCATCACAGCAGGCCCAGGATCCCCACAGCTGTTTTTGCTATTCCCCACACCCAAGGTCTGTTTTTATCCTTCTGCAAGAACAGCAGTACCAGCAGTAGCTGATCTGTGACTCCTGGGCCACCTCTGAGTCCTTGAAGAGCACACACAGCAATGGGGCTACACTGGGGGGGCCCCTGCAGCCCCCCAGACAATCAGGGAATGTTTCAGACCCTGGGCTGCTCTTACCCACGTGTGAGGGCCACACCGTGATGTGGGGGTGGGAGTGGTACCAGCCCACCACCCTCATGGGCCGTCCTGTCATCTCTGCCAGCCTGTGTGGGGGTCAAGGAGCCAACCAGAACCAAGAGACAAAGGGAAGGGCTGCATGCACAGGGGAAACAGCAGAGCTTTAAAGGGTTTCCTATGAGGCAACAGAATTCCAGATCTGTCACAGACATTTTATGAGAAATCCTTTTGCTGGGATTTTTTCTCCTGAGAAGCTGAGAGGCCTCAGGAACAAAATGTAAACAATGATTATCTGCTGCTGTGGAATGCAACAGGTGCATCTGTGATTGGTCTCATGGGGTTGTTTTTAATTAATGGCCCATCACAGTCAGCTGGCTCAGACTCTCTGGTCACTCACAAGATTTTATTATCATTCCATCCTTTCTATTCCTTTCAAGCCTTCTGATGATACCCTTTCTTCTGTTCTTTTAGTATAGTTTTAGTATATAATTTTCTTTTAATATAATATATATAATAAAATAATAAATCAGCCTTCTGAACCATGGAGTCAAGATTCTCATCTCTTCCCTCATCCCCGGACCCTGTGAACACCACACAGATCCCTCTGGAGGAGTGATAACAAACAGTGCAGGGAGCTGATGGGAGCCTCTTCCCCAGCACCATCAGCAGCCACTGCTGCAGAAGCAAACTGGATTTGGTTTGCATGTGGCAACAAACAACATTTCAGCAGCTGTGCAAAGCAGTACCCAGAGTGTGTGCAGAGAAGAGGCTCCAGTGCAGCACCTGGAGCTTTGCTGACCTTTCCTCTTGCACTCAGCCTCCCTGCTGAACTGCCACCCCCTCCACACACACACTGCAGTTTTAGCTGTGACTAAATACAAAACAAGGATAACGATTTATAACACAATGCCACTGCAAGTGCTGGAACCAACAAAGACTCCAGGGCAAGGCAACAGCCAGCACAGCCCTCCCAGCTGACAGCTTCAAACCCTCTGCAGGCCTTAAACACAGCCCATGAGGTAAAGCACTCCAGGGCCAGCCTGCGGCTGCCTGTGCTGAAGGATATCTCTGCTTCAGTGGAAGCAGCTGAGAGCTGCTCCGGTGAGATCTCCACACGGTCCTTCCTCTTGTCAGAGCGCCGCAGGATGATCACAGAGTGGATGTGGACGATTCTGTTGGTGTCCACCTAAGGACACAGGGGGGAAATCAGAGATTCCTCTGCCACAGAAACAGCAACCCGCGGGGCACGAGAACCGTAGAACGAGGGGGTACGGGCACGGGAACATTTCCTGACTCTGAGCTTCGACTCTCCCAGGAGCTGACCATGGCGCTGGCGGCTGCCAGGGCCGCAGACGAGCGGGGTGCCGGGGTGGCTCCGTGCCTCATAGCCCGCGCCCCGCGTCTCACGGCCCCGCGCAGGCCACAACCCGCACAGGCAGCGCCGCCACCCGCCCCTCCCAGGGCGGCCCCTCCGCGGGCGGTACCTCTCCGATGCAGAGCCCCATGACCTCCTCCTTCTCGGTGCTCAGCGCGTGGTTCAGGCACACCAGGAACGCGTCCGCCTCCAGGTGCACCGCCTGCACCGCCATCTTGCCTCCCCCGGCCCGCCTGCCCTCGCCCCGCCCCCTCGGCGGACGGACCAATAGCAGCGGCGCTCGCGGGCCCTCCCAGCCAATCGGCGCGGCCTCCCGCGAGGCGAGCGGTGCGGCGCGGCGGAAGGGCCGTGCCGCCCACGGGAGCGGCAGCGCCGGGGTTCCGCCCGGGTTCCGCCCGGCGGCCGATGCCCGGGGCGGAGCGGCGGGGGATGGCAGGGCCGGGCCTGGACGGGACGGCCCGGCCCGATCCGATCCGGCTTAACCCCACTCGGCTCGGCCCCGGGCCCGGCCTCCGGGGCCTGCGGGGAGGCGGCGGGTCCGGGGGGCGGGGGACGGCTTAGCGCGGCGCACGCGGCGCGGCGGTCACGGCGCGGGTGCAGGTAGGTCATGGCGGGCCCGGCCCGGCCCCCGCCCGCCGCCGCCTCACGGCCAGGGCCGCCCGCCCGCCCGGCCCCGGCCCGGGGAACGCGGTGGCTGTGGCGATGTGCTGCGCCCTCCTCCCGCCCGGCCGCCCCGCCGTGGCCGCTCCGGCCCCACGCCTGCGCCACACCCCCCTCCCCTCCGGCCCTCGCTGCCCGGCTTGGCCGCTCTGCCCCCGCTCCCGCTCCCCGGCCCGGCTCTTGCGTCCCTTCCCTCGCCCCTCTGCGTGGCTCCCCCCGCATTATGTCCATCTCTTTGTCTTCCTGTTTTTTTAGATCCCACCAAAGCTCGGCCTGCCCTCCCCACGCTGCTGGACAGCCCGGCTGGTCGGTGAGCATCTGCTACCCCTCCGTAGGTCGGGCAGAGCGGAGCGTGGAGTCAGAGGGGCTTGCTCCAGGCAGAGTAGAGTCAAACCCCCAAGAAGAAGCTTTAGAGTGTCTCCACATGCCCTTAAGTCACCAGATCCCCGAGCTGTTGCCAGAGCCGGGCTGGGTTTGTCAGGAAGGCTCAGCACGCTCGTAGCCCTGAGGCGTGCAGGCGGCTCTGAAGCCCCAGGGGAAGGCCAGGCTGGCCAGCCGTGCTTTGGGGTGTAACTGTGGCAGCACAGCACTGCTGAGCCTCAGCACTGCTTCTCCTTGCTGCCTAAATGGCAGCTGAACTCCCTGCTGCTTTTTAGATCAAAAGGTGATAAAGGGTGCAGTTTATTCAGCACACTGACCTCCAGCTCTGGGGTGGTCCAGGCAGCATCTGGAGCAATTTCTGTCACTGTTTCCATAAAATATTTTAATGTACCCAACTTAAAACCAAATAAATTGTCGTCACTACAAGCTGCATTCCTCCTCCTGGCCATTTTGACATTTATCCATATATTATGGCTCAGAAATCCATCCAGGTCCCAGAACAGCATTAAACTTCTAAGGTTGATGCTAAGATGGACAGAACATCTGCCAGTGTTATTCCTGTCTGTGAGGACTGGGGTTGGAATCTCCCCAAAGCAGCACTTTGAGCAGCTCAGCCTTCTACAGCAGTGTTGATGGGAATGTTAAAGTCTCAAAGGATGATGCTGCAATCCTGCACATTTAAGCTGTTGGGGTTTTTCTTGGTTGTGATGGGGTTTTTGATAGATTATGAAGCAAGCAGTGTAAGAACTCGGGTTTAAAACATGTTTAAAATATAAGTAAGCTCTCTTCTCCTTCCACCCATGTCTTCCTTCAAGCTTTGTTTTTGCTTTCTAATCAAACCTGCAGCAATGAGACACTGTGTGTGTTTTCAGGTGCACTGTCTGGGTGTGTGCTTGTGGAATCTCCAGTTTCTTTGGTGTGTTTGGGTGTTGCAGACACCTGTCCCACTTTGAACCCTATTCCTGTCCCATCCCAAACCCCATTCCTGTCCCACCTTGAACCCCATTCCTGTCTCACCCCAGTCCCATTCCTGTCCCACCCCAATCCCCATTCATGTCCCACCCCAATCCCATTCCTGTCCCACCTTGAACTCCATTCCTATCCCACCCCAATCCCCATTCCTGTCCCACCCTGATCCCCATTCCTGTCCCACCCTGATCCCCATTCCTGTCCCACCCCAGTCCCATTCCTGTCCCACCCCAATCCCCATTCCTGTCCCACCCCAGACCCAGCTGACGGTTTTGCCTGACCTCAGGGTTTTCCATGTGGCACCACCTGGGCACCTCCACAGGCCAGACTGAGCCTTTGAGCTTTGCAGTTCTGGGGGAGCTTGTGGCACAGGGTGACAGCACACACGAACCTCTGCCCATTCTGCACAGTGTCCTCTGCATGAGACCTTGTTCTGTTGTCCTGGCTCTGTCACTGCTGCCATCTCCACTGCCCATGGACACAAATGTGCATGCTGTGCTTTGGTCCTGCTCCCTGTGGTTCAGCCAGCCTGAACCAGGGCAGTGTTTGGAGAGGAGACCTTCCAGGAGAGCTTACCTACAGTAGGAAACACAGTTCATTTACTGAGACTCATTTATCTATTACTGGAGCCAGTCTTGAGCTTTCTGGTTCTGGAGATGATGACCTGTAAAAATTCCAGCTTTGAATGGAATGAAAACATTCCAAGTTCTTGGGCATTTCTGATCATGATGGAACTTTTTGCAGTTTACTGCAGAGTATCCTGGCCGAATTCCACCTGGGGTGATTATGTTCAGTGGCAATTGCTGCATTTCACTGTTGGGCAGAGTTCCACACAGGGGTTTAAATTTGTAATGTGGCATAGGGTAAAGCAGAAAGGAAAAGAGTTACAGAAATGTCCTTTTAAGCCTAATTCCTGAAGGCCTTGTGAGGCTTGTCAGGCTGCAGTCACATTCCTCCAAATGCCAGTGATCCAGCTGGTGGGGCATTCCTTGGAATGCCTGTCCCTCATCACAGGATGGCAGCCAGAACAGTGCTGCTTTGTGTGGGGCACATACACATCCCCACACACCAAGCAAGGCAACAAACAGAATGGGTGAAAAACAGAAGTAATAAAAGAACACTCAAAGTTTTCTTTGTGATGGTGCTGTTCAGGCTGACCCGTGGTTGGTGTTTTGTTCTCAAAAAGGCTGAGTGCTCCTCTGGCTCAAAAAGATAGAGAAACACTGATCTAAGATATGGAAGGCATCATGGAAGAGTATTTTCTGTTATATATGCAGCCCAATGTATAACAAGTTTTTTTTTTTCTCTCCCTGACCTTCCCTCCTTTATTTTGTACCCAGATTTTCTTGCTCCTGTTTGAAATATGCCTTATAACCTTACAAGTTTTCAGAAGACCACTGTGTTTCACTGGGATAAAGAATATTGCATCTGCTTCATAGCAGGAGGATGTTGTATGTGTTACAGCTTAACTTTGTTCTACTTTACACCTAGATAAAGGATGAAGACTGTCTGTACCATTTTGATTACCTCTTCTAGGGTTCAAAGAGAATCATTTCCCCTGGCCTCCATTTGCTCATGGCTCAGCTTGATCTAACTGGCACACAGATAAACGTGCTGTTACACAAAAGTTACAGTAGCAGGAACCACCTCAGTGCCCCAAGCTCCTCTGCCCGTGTCGGTGGCACTCTGTGACCAGCCAAAAGCCGAGTGACGCAGTCCTGAGCGCTGCTCCCGAGGAGTTTGGGTGTGAATGGACAGTGCTGCCACCCCGAGAGATGAGACAAAGGACCCTGCGCCCCGACAGCTCAGCGAGCTCCAAAGATGAGAGTCCTGCACAGCGAGCCCTGTGCTCTGTCTCCAGAGTGATCTCCGTTCCTGCTGAGCTCACCTCACTGCTGCTCACCAGTTTTGCGTTTGGGATTTAGACACCTCTTTTTCCCCCCATTTTACACAAAGACTGTTAATAGGACTGTTAGTGGAATGAGCAAAGCCAATACTCCCAGGGTTTAACTCGGTACCAATAGCACCTTTAGCCCCAGAATGCCTTACCGACGCCACCCGGCCCGCGTGTCCCGCTGTACGACTTGGCCTGATGTTTCCGCTGGCTTAGGCGCCACCTCAGCCTCCCGAGCTGACTTTTAGGGACATTTCCGCACGTGTAGCATCTCCTCCAAGAGTCAGACACCACCTGGCTGCCGGCTGCGGGAGCTCTCCCCGTGGATGTGCTCGGAGCTCCGGAGGCCGCGAGTGCAGCCCGCGGGCCGATGCCGTCCGGCTGAGCTGCGGCCGCGCCCGAGGGATGGCGCAGGGAGGGGAGGCAGGCGCTCCTCCCGTGCGCCTCTGGGTGCGCCGCGTGGGGGTTTACTGCGATGAGCACCGCAAAACCTGGCTCGTGGCTGCGGAAGAGGCAAGTGTGCGCTTTGAGCTTCCCCCTGGTTGTAGCGTTGCTGTTTCAGGTGCCTCTGCCAGTAACTGCCTGCTCTGTTTGTTACTCTCCCCCAGGAGGAAGGTATGCTGAGGGCTCGGATCCAAAGAGTTCAGGTTCCCCTGGGTGAGGCGCTGCGACCCAGCCAGCTCCCCCCATCCCGGCTGCCTCACATGTGGCAGCTGTCCCAGGGTGAGCAGTACAGGGATAGTAACTCTCGCGTTTGGGAGATAGAGCACCATCTCATGGTAAGGATGGTGGCGACAATAGAACATAGTCATTCCTGTTTGTGAAGTCATTTGAGATCCTTGAGGGACGGCAAAGGACTGTTACTTTGTTGAAGTCCATTAGCTCATCCACGGTAACTGTAGACGTATTGAACTTTTCCTTGTCACTTACAGCTTGATGGTGTTGAAGAACTGCTGCTTAAACTCGTGCCTGGGGATTAATCTGGTATGTGCAGACATTACCCCTGCTTTGTACTGTGCACTGTTTACTCCCAGTCTTTCTTCAGTATGAATTTTTGTCTTTCAGGAGCAGTGGCTCTAGGAAGATGCCATTGTCTGTTTTGTACAATAAAAGGTTCTCTCTCCACTGAAATGCAGCCACCTTTGAGGTGGAAGCAGTTAAACCACACACAGCAGCACCACACAAGAGTTTAGGACAGGCAGTGGAGCATTGTGACCTAGTGAAGCATCAGGGGGAGTTCTGGGTAGGCAGAATGTGATTGCCCCAGATGGAATTCGGCCAGGATGCTGCAAGCAATGCCCTGGTGACCCTGCAAACTGCTGGGGGCTGTGGCTTGTCAGAAAGTGGACAGGCAGCAGCTCCCAGCTCTGAGCAGAGCCTCAGAGGGTTCAGTCTCACCTCCACTTTCAGTGACACTGGTGCTTTCCTTAGAGGTCTCCCATCCAACTACTGGTACCACCAGCTTTTGCTTGGCTTTTGATCTTACACTGACACAGTTACAGGTGTCTCAGCTGCAGAAAAATCAACTCAGGTGTCTGAAATCCTTTTCTAATAGATTTGAACAAGATGGAGGTGTCCTTCAATCTGGTTGAGGGGTTTTTTGGACAGAGGGAGAGGATTTCCAAGAGACTTCCTCCTGAAACAAAATGAAAAGAGCCCTTCTTGTTGGCTTTATGGCATATACACAACTGAGTTGTTTGGGTGATTGTTTTTTAAAATGCCTTCTCCAGCTGTGGTTCCATGACTTGCCACCAAATCTTTGGTTGTGTAAAGCTCACAGAGGTGGATTTCACATAAATACATGTCTCAGTATAAGGTCTAGAGATAGAAAACTCTTAAAATTTAGTCAGCCCTGTTAATTTGAATATTTTCTGGATCCTTTGTAAATCCAAGTGGAAAAGGACACATTTTAACTAGAGAAAAGAAGAAGGCTTTTAAACTTAGTTACATTAAACTTCCTTTATTCATTGTCCCCATCATCATCTTTTAGCCAGACAGAGTTCTTGTGTATGTTGGCAGGCACCTGGAAGCAGCTGTAGATGTTTTCTGAATGGTGACAGTGGGGGAAATGGGGAGCTCCTGAAAGATGTGGCTGTAGGACATTGTCTTTCCCACCCCTGAGAAGAACCCTGATCTACAGTAACATTTTCTATCATTTTAGTTCCTGAACATGTCCCGGAAGGATCCCTGCCAGAAACAAGCCTGTGAAATACAGAAATGCTTGCAAGGTACCAAATGTCATTTTGTCTTTGGTGTCCTGATTTTTGGTGGAACTTAATTCTTTTAAATTAACCTTGTCTTTCACCTTGAGAAGGAACAAAGCACATTAGCATTGCCTGGCTGCAAAATGAACAAAATTATAATGTCTGATGTTAATAGAATTGGTTTGTGCTTAATTGTAAATAATGAGACCTCATTAGTATAAAGCAGATCATTAGTAACAGTAATGTGCTTGTAGAGTTCTCCATGCTGGCAGTGAGATCCCAGGTGTATTTTTGGGACTCAGCTGTGGGCAGGGAGAGCTAGACATTTATAATAAGCTCTCTTACAGTGTGGTTAGTGAGGGAGTAGGTGGATGGTATGAGAAGACTGCAGAGCTGCTCCAGGGGTGTTTCAAGAGCTCTGTCAGGAACGGGTTAGGTGATCTGTCCTTGAGGTGTGACAATGCCTTCATGTCCCCAGCAATTGTCTAGAGACTACCTTTAATGTCCTCATGGTTTGGAGCATTCTCCCACAAAGAACTGCCTTCTCTCCCTATATTACTGCACTTAAAAGCTGATGGTTGACCCTGTTTTGGTCCCATCTGTGGCAATGTTATTTTTATAACATTTGTGGAAGTTATTCCAAGTGGTTTTCCTGTGTAGGTTTGTGTACAGTGTTGATCTGAATGGTTAAGAGTTGGCAGAGAAGCTCTTTGCTGCATGTCGAGTCCCTGTCACTGCTGCTGTTCCTGTTTTGGGCTGTGGAGCTGTCTGATGGGCACAGATGAAGCAGCTGTTGACAGAGAGCAAAGCAATTTTCCCCTGTAAAAATCAAAGTACAGAGCCTTAACTGAGGAATGCACAGTTACTGTATCCAATGTGTGAGGTGGAGGGTGGGAGCTGCACCTTTGGGAGATGCTGACTTCTCAAAAGTCATTGTTCCAAACATCTTGCTGCTCCTCTGGGAGACTGAATGCCTGCTATAAATCTCTTTTGTGTTTTGCTATCTGTGTGTGACTTTCAGCAATGCATCCTTGACAGATGATGGTGTGCCTGTATGTAGCTACAGTTTTAGAAACAAAGCTGCAGATGCAGAGGGACAGTTAGGAGAGCCTTGGAGCACTCATCAACTGCAGGTTATGGCAGACAGAGATCAGCTCTCCTCTCCAAGGGTCTGCTGCGCCTCCTGGGCTGCCAGCTTGCAGAAATCACCACAACCCTTTTCTCAGGGGTGATCTCTGTGTTTGTATTACAGCTCACTCACCAACCCAGTCAGGGAATTCATAGCCCAGTGATCACAGCAGCGTGGTTTGCTCATTAACCAGAAGGTGTTCACTGCTGCTTTCGGGGCTCTCCACAGGTGCTGTGTGTCTCACATTATGCTGGTGTTGCTTCTTTTAATCTTTTAAAAGTCAGAGTGCAGCTGTGTAGTGCTTGCAGCGCTCATCCAGGGCACAGCAGGGGGCTGTGGATGTTTCTGGGCAGGTGGTTCTTAACTCAAACCAGCCTGAGTCTCTTCCTGCAGGACTCCTCTCTGAGTCACAGAGAGCCACAGCCTTAGACAGCAGTGAGCAAGAAAATGATGGAATGCTTGTAAGCAGCTGCAGAGCTGGGCAGGGTGTGCTCCCTCAGGGAACAAAGCCTGTTCCTCTCTGCAGACCTGGTGTCTCCTCCTTTTCCAGCGAACAACTACGTGGAGTCCAAGTGTGAAGCTGCGCTCCAGGAGATGCGGAAATGCTGCGCTCGCTTCGCCAAGGGCAGGTCCGTCTGTTGTTCAGGGTTTGAGAGAGAAGAAATGGAGAGAGAAAAGGCTAAGTTGACTTCAAAAGGAATTTCCCCACCACCTCAGTAACACAAAGCGTGGACTCACTTGAAGAGCTCGTGTGTGTTTTTTCAAGCCTTCTTTAGACTTTCAGAAAAGCCAGATTGCTCCTGGAACACACCGTTCAGCACACCAAAAAGCATTACACAGTACCAACATATGGCCTGGTTAACAAACTTTATTTTCTGTACGAAAACATAATCTATGTTGCCTCTGCATCACACCTGTGAAATGTCAACTTGATGTTTTTAGGATGCTTACCTTACTCTAATCCATCCTTGCTCTAAAAATGGAGAATTGGAACAGAGTTATTCTGGCTTCTGGAGCGAGAGGTACAGGAAATGAGCTCAGGAGAGTGAGTTTAAACATGAAACAAACCCATCTTGATACAACAAAGGTAGTGCTGCCACCGTGCAGTAGTTCCAGACAACATTTGCCTGTCCAGTGGTTCAAGCTCAAGAATGGGCATCAGGTCTGATGATTGTTCCTAAGTCTTGTATAGATCATGAGTGACTGCAAGTCACTTTGCCTAAGTGCCTCACTTTTCCACTGGACAGAGTTGTTTATTTTATATTTGAATTGCCTACACGCTGCTATTTGCATGATAAAGATAAAGATGTTACAGGAATATAATTTCAGGGATTGCTACAGGGATAGGATATTTTTTTAAAAAAGCAATATTCATTTGAAAGATTTGACTGTTGATACAAAATTTATAAATTTATGTCTAATTAAACACCTTTAAGCAATATGCTTTGAATCCAAGTCTAGTTGAAACTGCTGATACCCAAAGGCCTGTCACAGAGCCCTGGGCTAGATCCAAGAACTGACTTAGGTGCTGCTTACTGAACAAGCAGTTGTAGGCAGTTATTTTCCACACAACATTCCAGACTCACTCCCAAGCCGGCTGTGTCTGGGCCCCAGGAGAGATGGCTTTCCAGAAGCTCTCAGCCATGCAGCAGAATTTCCTGTGACCTGTAGGAAGAGCTCATAGACAGGTTCCTGCACCACCCTTCAGAGCTGCCTGTCTGCTGTCCCCTGTAGCAGGAGTCCAGGCACCCAAATATCAGGCTCCCAACCCACTAGCCCTAACTCTGTATTAGATCTAGCCGTAAAGGACTTTTGTGCTGTGATCAAGTACAACTTACTTATGAAATAGAGCTTCTATAAACCACTGAGGTCTAGGCACAATAGTTGTGTGTACTGAAGCCTAGAAGAGCAAACCATCTGTATTCACTGCTCTGAAATACCATGGTACAAAATAAACGACTGGAACAAATTGTGGTCTCTGCTTGTTTGTGGAGCTGCAGGCCGGGTGCCTTGGCTGCCATTCACAGCCCAGAGCCATGGGAGATCATGTTTCAATAGAAGCTGCTTGATATTTTTGTAACTGGGGCTGGAGATCAGAATAATTTAGGGCTTGTCTTCCCCTCCCACTGCTGTCCCCTCCAAGAAAAAACCTTTAAGACAAAACAGGGGGTTTAGTGTCCCTGAAAAGTAGGGAAAAGTGATGATAATAAAAATGATAAAGGTGTTGTGAACCACCTCAAACACTGACAAGTAGCTATTTTTTCTCTTTTGCCCTATCTGAGCAGGAACAGTGGAAAGAAAATCACTAATAGATAAATAGATAAAATATATTTATTTAGATATATCTAGATAGACAGATAAAATATATATCTTTAGGCTTCTCTTGCACCTATGAAAAAGAAATAGGCTTGTCTCAATGCCCATTTGAAGTTGGGTGGAACAAGTTTGCTCAGCAGAGGCAACCCAGGCTGGCTACAGACTCATACAGACTCACCTCCTGCCCTAGCAGCATCCCATACTCTTGGGAATATGTGTGATTGGTGCCAGGATGATCATGGAGAGGGATTTAATAAGGTAGCCCAGGTTACCTGCATGGATGAGGGGAGGCTGGAACCCCCATAAACTCATTTATGTTGGAAAAGACCTTTAAGATGGAGTCCAACCATTCCCCCAGCACTGCCAAGTGGAGCACTAAGCCATGTCCCCAGGTGCTACCTGCCACACTCCTGCTGCTGTGGGTGCTCCCCTCAGTCAGTGAGGCAGGAATGTGCTGGTTCCCAGGAAGCCAACAGACCTCACACAGAGAAGCATTTAGAGCAAAACTGTTTAATAAAATATCACTTCAACAAGCATTTACATACAATATATAAAACCACTTTAAAAGCCTGATGTGTTTGAAATCTCAGAGTGTAACAGATATCAGAAGTTGTTGAAACAACACTAAAAGGAGCAGGACTGGGGAGGGGAAGGGACACCTCATCTTGACACCTGCAGCAATGAAAATGCATCCCCACAGAGACTGATCCAGCATCAAAGCTTCCAGTGTTGCCCCACAGCATCAAACAGTGCCAGCCACGAGCCCAACACCAGCACAGCAGAAAGATTTCCCACATCCTGATGTGCTTGTCCATTCCCTGCCTACATTCACATCAAACCCAGCATAAATCTGTTGATTGTTTCCCCTTTCAGCAGCATTTTAGCTCCTCTTGGGGCCATTTCTCCCTGTAGCAAACTGGGACTTGAGCAGAACTCACCCCACCTAGGGCTGAGCAGAAGTAGTGACTTATTGAGCCAGAAAAACACCCCTAAGGTCTGTTAATGATTTGCTTTGAGCTCTGTCATTGGAGACAGCTTTGTGGAGATCAGTGCATCTCAGAAGTTGTGTTCTGCAGCCCACCCAGCCAAAGAGCAGCAATGCTGTTGTCCTACAGGAACAAGAGATCCCTTGCAAGACCAATGTATCCATTTATGCATGTTCACATCTGCAGATCCTACAGAAAAACAAACCAAGTCCCAAAAACCCCACCACTGTCTCTATTTCCACTGCTAAACACCAATTTATTGAAGACCTATTTGAGGCATCCTGCAGTCCAGGATGGCCTTTAAGAAGGCCATTGTTAAAGGATGTGAGCCCAGCTACTCCTTCATTCTCCTTGGCCATGTATGGCAGGACAGGAGCAAAGACAAAGACAGCAACTTCTATCTCATGATTGCCTGCAGCCTCTTTTCAGATCCTGAAGGTGAGGAAAACCTCAGCTAAATCAATGTGTTGCTATATGGACACTTCAATCAGCAGAGCTGAAACAAAATTACCAACTGCAAGTGCTCATTCCAACCCCTCTAGTGGAAGAACCCAGCATTTCAGCTCTCAGGGCAGGATCCCCTTCCCAGCCACACTGAGAGCAGCAGATCACAAAGCCTTTGCACACACTGGAAATGGGGTGCAGATGCTGAGCCAGGTGCTGCAAACCACCCACCCATGATTGCCATTGCTCCCTACCATGTTTCCCGTGGAAAGATGAGCTGACTTTCACACAAAATACCACATTCTGGGCAAGAACTCCTTCCTATACCTGCTGGAGGACATCACCACGTTGTCAGACAAGTCTCTGTGCTTGCAGAATGCCCTGGGGGATGTTTGTCTGTACTGCACACAATGCACTGAGTCAGACTGAGCTCTGCACCTGGGGAGCCTCATCTCCTGCAGGAGAAGGGCTGCAGCTGATGGAGTTAAGCAAAGAGCCTTTCTTGTGGAAATGGCAAACACAAAGAAGGAAGGAACATAACTGAGGCAGAAATATGAAATGAACTGCTCTCACAAGAGCATGGTCTGGTTTTCACTAAAGTTTTGTCATTTCAGTTGCTTGCAGAGACCAGGGAGAAGGAATTTGTGCCCTTCAGAGGCAAGTAAAGGACTGCACTCCAGATTTCACATCATCCTCCTTTCTCCAGTACAGCTGGCAACAGGGACCTGGACCAGTACAGTGTACCCTGAGCAGGGATGCATTTCCTGTCTACAATCCTGTCCCACATGATTACAGCTCAAGGAGCATCACCAATGCCAAAGTGACCAGAGAAGGCTGTGGCACACATGGAAAGCCCAGTCAGAGGCCCAGAGTGATTTACACTAAGTGGCACAGCTGAAATGCCCCCATGTGACACAGCCAGACTGGGCCTGCTGGAAGCAGGAGAGAGCCTCAAGGGCTGAGCAGTCAGGTGGTTCTGCAGAACAGAACTTGGTGACTTTCAGAACACATGATGAGAAAAGGGCTTGGAGAGTCAGCCTCAGTGCTGTTTCCATCAGCAGTGCCAGTGCTGCAATTCCAGTATGGGGAAGGACACCAGCAGAGACAAAGCCAAATGGCCACCTATGTGCAGTGAAACAGCAGGGGGAGGGCAGGAAAATCCATATTCCCCTGTCCTGGACACAGCTCAGGCAGCTTTGACACTTCTGCATCCACCCCAGGATTGTCAACCACATTTTGGATTGCACAGATCACCTCTGTGCAGAGGGAAGCAGAGGTGGTCCAGTTACCAGGGCAGGAATACTGACAGCTAAATTGTGGTGCAGAGCTGACACAATATACTGGCAGACAAAGGTACATATAACAGTCCTGAGCACCTGCAAGAAGCACATTTAAGAGGTTTCTCTGCCACTACATTTTTATGAAGTTGAAACTCATTAGAAAATTTGAGTCTGGGGATATTTGGTGGGAAATCATGATACACTGGGAGTTGTGAGCTTCCAGACCAAGCCCAGCACACTAACAGCCCAGACAGAAGAAAAAGGTGGAAATCAGAAGCAGCATTGTAAGAAATAAGGGCTGGAACCTGTGAGCAGATGGGACTGAGTCTGTTGGCAACATCCTTTGACTTCTAAGTGAGAGATAACAGCAGTAGAGGAGGGGAGGGGAAGTTGGGCATGGGAGTGCAGCTTCTAGGATGCCATTCCAAACAAGAATCCTCCAGCAAACCCTCCAGTCAGGATAGCATTCTTCTTCAGAAATATGACCACCTAAGCAGGGGTGAGAAGAGACAACAGTGTTCAACAACATCAGGCCACTCACTGCCCCTCCTGCTAAGAAGAAATCCCTCAGACTGTTTGTTCTTGAGGCAAGTGATGCTCACAGAGATGACACTGCTCACATTTGGGAAAACTTCCTACCTAAGGAGCTCCCCTCCCTACCTGCACCAGCACACAGCCAGATCTTCACCCTCCCCAGCCACGAGCAGCCAGCTCCTGCAGGAGAATGCTGTGGGAAATGATGTCTTCCTAAACTCTAGGCAGGCAACACCCACAACTTTTGCCATCTCTCCCATTTTGCTGTCATGCAAGAATTCCCTCCTTGTATTGGCACAACTGAACATCTGTAACAGTTCAAGAGGCAATCCTGTTTTCTGCTGTCCCTCCAGCACATGGCCTGGGAGAGCTCTCACCTCATCCACTCTGCTTTTCACTTCTGGAGGCATTTTGTCACCACTGGTGTGAAATTTCAGCTGCTGCTTGGCTTTGTTCATGTCCCGCTGTATTAGGTTCCAGTCCACCTTGATGTATCCTGTGTGGTTTGCAATCTAGAGTTTTGGGGATTAGAAAAAAGTTCCTGAAGTCCTGCATGACCACAGCTAAACAGACCCCTTGCTAAACAGGCCACCTTCCCTGGCCACAGCCACCTCCCCCTCACTGGGGGGCACACTGCCTTAAAAACTGGACAGAACACCATCCTGGAGCTGTGCCAAGTGTTCTGCAATATTTGTCTCCCACAGTAACCCCCAGCTGCTGGGCACACACAGCAGCCTAGCCTGCTTCTGCCTCTGTTCCTTAAAGTGAAGCTGGTATCACCTCCCCCTCACCACTGCCATGGATATTGTTGGGACTCCCTGCAGCTCTCCTGCTGCTGTGGGTGCACACAGCTATTAATAGCCCATTCCTCTCCAACTGTTTTATCTGCTCAGGGTGATTCAGCTGTGGAACTCCCTCTGCCCAGAGCAAGCTCTTGACTTTGAGCAGAACAAGCAGAACCAGGAGAGTGAGGGAGAATGAGTCACATACAAGACCTGAGGAGCAAACAGGTGAGATCTGAACAGAGCTGCTCTACCTGCTCCAGGATGCACCAGGTGCATGAACACATCCCAGCAGCTTCCCTCAGTGCCAGGGCTCTGGGAAACCAGCAGAAGTGGCAGAGGACAGAGAGAGATCTCCTTTCTCTCCTCCTCCCCAGTGCTTTACAGTGAGCCCCATCTGTGCTGGCTGGTCTCCTTGGGAAGCCAGGTTGGCAGGAAGCATGGCACAGATATGGGTAAATCCTTCCTGACATGCAGGGCTGTTCCTCCAGGGACACTGTGTCCACAGCCAGACAGCTGAAGCTGTCTCGTGCTCCACTCAGGCCCTCCTGAGCCTTTGCCTGGCCTTTGGCAGCAGATCCCCAGTGGATGTGCCCTGGCAGTGCTGCACTGGTGTTTGCACACTGACCCTGCTTTGCTGCTGCATCCACGTGCCCTGGAGAGCACACACCTCTGGCATTCACAGCCAACAAAGCCCCAACAGGCAGTGGCTCCTAGAGAGACCTTTGTGCCCAGCAGCACAGCTCTCAGAAAGCCTGGGCTGCTGTTCATACCCACCTGAAGAAGGAAAAAGCCTCCTCCCACTGCTGTCGCTGCCAGCTTTCCAACCTTCTGGAAGAGGAATCCAGTACACCTACAAATCAAGCAGCATTCGGTCAGGAGAATGAAACACCACACACACACCACTCCCTGTGCTTCCCACAGGCCAGGCTGCCTTTGGGAAGTTACCCAGGACTGGAGACAGCCTGACCAACTGCAGAAGAAACCCATGTGCAACCAGAGAGAAGGATTTGCACCCAGACAAAATTGATGCTTTATAGCTTTTCACTCTGTGCTGGCACATTCCAGCCTTTTTCTGTTTGGTTCTTATGTCTTCAACCTCATCCTTGTCCCAAAAGAGTAACCAGAAACCTGTGATTTCCCCAAAATCAACAAGTGATTTTATGTTTTGGTGTCATTTTTTTTTTTAACTGGCATCATCTCTGAGAAGAAATGAGGGAGCACATGTGCTGCTCCATGACAGAGCATGGGGAGCAAATCACAACCCCCTTTCTTACTTATTTGTAAAGTAAGCAGCAAACAACTACTTACTTTACCTTTTTGTTTCTCAGGAGAGAAAAAGGATGGAACAAGCACACAGCAGTGATCTAAGGCTGGTCTACAAAATGGGTACCTGCTTTCAGCATGAAAAACATTCCTGCAGCCAGCACCACCCCAGTGCTCAGTCATGCAGCCACGGGCTGGTGTGCTGTGCCCCCCAAACCACACTTCCCTTGGAACAAGGTTTCCTTATGAGCACTGCAAACAACACAGCAGCCTGCCTTTGCCCATTTCTGAATTCACTCAGTGAAGATACAAGAGAAGGGTGGCCAGGCCACACCTCTGTGACAAGACAAAGCTCTGTCACACAATGTTAAATAATTACCCTGTTGCCAGGTGAACATGAGGGTCATGGTAAGAGGCAAAGCAGTTACACAATTACACAAAATTTTCAACTCAAACGATGCTGTAGGAATGAAGTTACAAATAGAGCCATGCTCAGTCCCAGCTACAAGTGACAGGAAACCCTGGGAACTGAGAGCCCAGGAGGTTTTTATTGCAGATGCCTGAAGCACATCCACCTCCAGTGGAGAAGGCATCCTTGTTTCAAGGGGTTCATATCTGCCTGTTCTAATTCAACAGCACCACTTTTTACCAGAAGTTAAAAATAATTCCAGACTGGTGCAATTTTCTTCCCTTAGAGACAATCTCAGTTCTTCAAGTTACAGACAGCACTTAGGACGTCCCAGAGCTGAGCAGACCATGCCAGGGGACAGCAGGCTGAGCACCCGCCTGCTGAATGCCTGCCACTCGATCTGCCAGCGCCTGTCAGTGTGACCCGGGGACGCAGCCAGCGCAGCAAGGGCAGCCCCGGCCCCGCTTACCATCCCGTGACCCCTCCGATCACCAGCTGCGTGGCCACATTGTACTTCTCAGCGCTCGACCCCGAGCTGGGGGCGAACATCTTGCGCCACCATGGCCGGTTCTTGGTGTACTCCGCCAGGTCCAGCACGTTGAATGTGTCGTCCTTGGCACCTGCAGGCACCTGCAGAGGCTCAGCGCCGGGACCGCGGCACCACAGCCCCCTGCCGCTGCCCGGTGCGCGCCCAGGGGCACAGCAGCCCTGCCCCGACACAGCTCAGGGGAACGGCACTCCCCGGCCTCCGGGAACCCCCACGTCCCTCAGCCCCGGCACTCCCCAGGGCCTCCGGGACCCCGCGCCCGGCACCGCTCACTCCCTCGGGGCCGCCCCTCGCAGAGCGGCCGGGGCTGGGGGCCCGTGCCCGGAGCCGCCCCCTCGGTCCCTCAAGCGGGGCCAGGCCCCGGCAGCCGCCGCCCCGCGCGATGCAAAGGGAGCGACACCGCGCCCTGCAGCGGGGAGGCCGAGCCGGGGGAGCCGGGACCCGCTGCAGGGGGAGAGGGGTGGAGGGACCCGCGCCCCGAGCCCCGAGCCATCCCCGGCCAGCCCAGCCCGGCCCGGCCCGGCCCACCTCCGCCCGGCACCGCCATGACGCCGCTGCGCTCCGCGCAGGCGCGAGCACGGCGCGCGTCACCGGGAGCGGGCGGCAGCGGGGCCGCGGGAGAGGGACCGGGAGAGAGGGACCGGGACAGGGGTGGGGACGGGCAGGTCGGGAGAGAGGGGCGGGAAGGGAGAAGGAGGGGCCCGAGGGGAAAGGGGCGCAAGGGGAGGAACGGGAGCGCGCATGGGGGCAGCGGGGCCGTGACCGTGCCCTCGGCTGTGCCCCGGCGGTGCTCTCGGCTGTGTACCGGCGATGTCCCAGCGGCGCCCTCGGCTGTGCCCCGGCTGTGTCCCGGTGATGCCCCGGTGTGCCCTCGGCCGTGCCCCGGCAGTGCTCTCGGTGCTCCTCCCTGCAAGGTGCCCGGTGCTGCAGCAGCATCGCGGCCCCGGAGCGGCTCCTAGGCTGTGCCCCGGCGGTGCCCCGGTGATGCCCCCGGCTGTGCCCTCAGCTGTGCCCTCAGCTGTGCCCCGGCTGTGCCCTCAGCTGTGCCCTCGGTGGTCACCTCTGCAAAGCGCCCGGTGCTGCAGGAGCAGCATCACCGCCCCGGAGCGCCTCCTCGGCTATGTCCCGGTGATGCTCTCAGTTGTGCCCACGGCTGTGCCCCGCCGTGCCCCTAGCTGTGCCCTCGGTGCTCCTCCCTGCAAGGTGCCCGGTGCTGCAGCAGCATCCCGGCCCCGGAGCGGCTCCTCTGGGCCCCTCGGCCCCGGTGTCCCCGGGGTCGCTGCTGCTCCCGCTCGAGCGGCTCGGCTGTGCGGTGGCTGCGCTGCTCCAGCGGCAGCCGGGGCGGCACAAAGCGTTCCTAAAGCCCACGGTGGTTTGCTCCCTCTGAGATGGGACTCTTGCTTGGCTGGGGCTGTCACAGCGCGTTTTGCCATCCACTGGAGGGACCCCAGGCCCCCCGGCACGGTGGGCACTGCGCACGGGCACACGAGCTCAGGTGTGCTGGAGCAGCTCGGGGCTCTGGCTGCAGCGCAGTCAGCCAGCACACCCCGGCTGCTGGGCCTCTGCCCCGGAGCTGATTTGGGCAGCTTGGACATGCTGCCTGGCAGGAACACATCTTAGTGTTTCCCCTAAAATAATGACACCTCTGATTTCTGAGCCATTAATCACTTGAACTCCTGTGGAACAAATGCCACCTAATTCCCAGCTGGGGAAGCTGCCCAGGGTGTAGCAAAGATGGAAATCCCGAGACACAAGAAGCAAAAAAAAGAAAAAATCATGGAGAGATTGTGACAGAGGAGACTTGACCCTCATTTGGGGTTAATGGAAAGCAGTGTGTGAGTGGGAGCAGGAGCGCAGGCGGCATGGGACGGGTAGGGGAACAAACAAACGCTCTTCTAGGAACTAAACACTTCTAGGAACTAACAGCAGCGCTCATGTGCCCTGCTGAGGACATCCTGTTAGTAAACAGCCCAGCACCTCGTTGCCACTTGCACGTAGGTCGGAGGATTTGGGAACTGCTTTTGGGAACTGCAGGAATGTCCCACGTGTTTCCAGGAAGGTCCCACGTGTTTCCTGCACTGCCCCGATGAGGGGGAACTGGCTGGAGCAGTGTGTGCATTCTGACCAGTGACACGACAGCACTTCCCTGGGAACAGGAGGAAAAGATGTGTCTGGGGAAGGGATGGTAGAGGCAAGTTGGCCTCTAGAAATCCAATCTGAACAGCAGTGTCAGGTGGTGCTGGGGTCTCCTGCATGTCTGGTACGTGACAGGCTTCCATCCTTGTCCAGCACGTGTCCCTGGTTTTGTCTCCCCTGCCCTGAGCAAAGGGATGCCCTCATGCCCTGGGGCCAGGCAGGTCTCCTTTGGTACCTCCAGCTGTGGGCTCTGCTGCAGCTGATCCCGGGAGCATCTGATGGCCTGGGCATCTGCAGCATGGCCTCATCTTTCCTAGCACATGTGCATCTTCATCTGGTGCAGGTGCTCAGCTTCCTCCAGCAGGATGCCAAGGTGGAGGTGGATCAGGGCTGGGGGCTCCTGTGTGCTGGGGTCAGGCACAGCCTGGTGTGGTGGGAGCAAGGACAGAAGCCAGCCCCTCAGCAGCCCACAGACACTGCAGCTCCCTGCCAGGTGCCTTCCTGCTGTTCAGCTTTGGAGGCACAGGCATGAAACACCATTCCCCATCTCAAAGGCTTCCTCTCCCTCCTGGCACCACCACAACCCTCCCGCCTCCATGGCCAGGCTGAGCCCACCAGCCCATGGGAGCTTCCAGAGAGTGTTTCTGCTGCCTGACTCATTCAGAGACGCCTCTGATGTGAGGATCAAGTGAGAAAGCAGAAATGCTCCACTGACCCACTTACTGCAGGGAAACCCAGCAGAGGAAAGCAGGCTTAGTTTGGGACCTCCTCCATGGCAGTATTTCCACTCTGATGCTGGGGTAGGTCCATCAGGGATGGATGTTCTGGATATTCAGGGTGTTGGCCTCAGCCCTGCTGCACTGCTGTTCCCTGGGTGCCCCTGTGCCCGTGAGTTTCCCCATCAAGAACTGCACTGGGCTGCAGCCCCTCTTTGCTCCATCCCTGCTGGGTGCAGTAATTTGGAAGTGCTGATATGAGGGGCCCTGCCTGGTCCTCCAGGCAGATCTGTGCCATGTGCAGAGCCATTTTCCTGCTTCTAGGAAGGGTGAGTGCCCTGTGCCTGGCTGCTGCTTCTGAGCTGCTCAGTGTTCCTGAGAAGCTGTCACGAATCACTTGTTCTCTCTCTTTCACACACACACACACACACACACACACACACAAAGGTTCCAGAAGAGATTAGACATGGTTCAAATGATTCTGACTAATTTTTATCTGCTCTAGTTCTGAGAACTTTTATGTTACTGTTCTGAGAACTTCACATTTCAGGGAAACAAACAGCCCTTTCTGCATGCGTGTGGGTCCTTGGCTCTGGCAAAATATGTTCTGGCAGGAGATTCCATCACCTGGAATCGTGGCTTTTCCATCACCTTTGCACAGGAGGACAGTGCCCTTGGGGAGGGCAGGTGGGCTCCAGGCAGGACTGGAATGCCAACTCCTCTCTGCAGCTTTCCCAAAGGCACAGCTGCTGCCTGGCCCAGCCCTGGGTGATGCTGACAGCTTGCACAGGCTCCCACATGGGTGTGCAGAGCCCTTGGAAGCTGCACAGCTGTTAATGGCACCCACTGGCTGGCACCATGCTTGCTCTTGCTGGGGCATGTGGGGTCCAGCTTGGCATGCTGGGCTCCCTCTGCATGTCCAGCTGTCCTTGGCCTGATTTGCTCCACACTGGCTCTCGTGTGTCTACACAAAGCTGCTGCTGTGTGCAGCTAAGGCCAGCATCTGGGCCCCCTCCCCGAGTTACTTTCAATTGTCACACCTGGATCCCCTTTCCCACAGCCTTGAGTATCTTGATAATATTTTCTTTCTGGCCTCCTGGGTTAGACCTCGTCTCTCAGGTTTACTCTTATTTCCCTGGGCCAGGAACCTGGAGCTGCCTCCCAGTAGCTGAAAATTATTAATTCACCATTTGTCAATGTCACAACAATTAATTTCTGACTGTTTCCAGGCTCCTGCCACTGCAGCCCCCAGGGATGCCGTTCCTGACAGTCCTCTGTCCCCTCCAGATGTTGTCATCCCACAGTGCCCAGAGCATCCCTGCCAGGGTTAGAGTTAAGAAGTTTCTGTGTTGCCCCATGCAGAATTCTGCAGAGTTGGAGCCCCGCTCCTGGCAGCCTGTCCCAACCCTCCCACATGCCCATCCCGTCCTGCCACTCCTCAGCTGCCCTCCTTATGGTCATGCTGTCTGCCTGGCAATGTTTTCCCCATCTGCTTGTTCCTGGAAGCCTTTCCAGATGAGTCTCACAGGAGATTCCCAGATGGGCTGACTAAAATAAAGTCACATCCATAGGAGGGGACACTGGTCCCTGAGGCACAGCCCAGCTCTCCCATTCCTCTCTTCCCTCCAGTATAGGTCACTCCTCTGCTTCACTGCAGTAGGGCAGGATGCAGAGCACCCTGGGGCATCCCCAAACATGACACACCAGTTGCTTTGCCCCAAAATAGTAGCTGGAAAAAGTGAGGTGAGTTGTTGCTCACAAAGAAAAGGAGCCCCAGGTTAGTCATGGAGCCAGCTGTGCGTGTACAAGCTGGAGAAAATGTTTCTTACTCACTCTTTGTCTCCCCAGGAGCAAGGTGGGTGGTGGGGGAGAATCAGTTTCTGCCCTGCGCTGAGGATTCATGCCAGAGACCCCCAAAAGCCCATCCCTCTGTGTCCCTCTCTTTCCCAGTCACCAAGACCTGTCACATGGATGCTTCTGCACACACTAGGACTGTCACCAAAGGGGTCACTGGCCCGTTGCACTCCTGCTGCCCTGTGACATGATTTATGGGACATTTCCCCACCTCACTCATCCAGGGGATGCAGGGACCATGCAGGGCATTCCTCCTCATCTTCCTGCTCCCTGAGCCAAGGGACAACCATGTGGCAGTGTGTGTGTGCCTGAGCACACGTGTGTGTGTGTGTGTGTGTGTGTGTGTGTGTGTGTGCACTGATGAGGGGAGGGGGATTTCATGGGCTGTTAAAAAGAGAGATTGAAAGTTTGTGAGTAAAATGAAATATATTTGTCAAAACATTTCAGTGCATCTTCTCTGAGCTCTACTGCAGAACCCTGGGAGAAGAGGAGCAGCTGGCGGGAAGGGAATTCCAGGGATCATCCCAACCACTCCTTCCCATGTGGCTTGAGGCAAGGTTGTGTGGCCACATCACCACTGCTGGGCATCCCAGAGTCAGGGATAAGTCACGTGTGTACATCTGCATCCCTGGCAACCTGCTCTCCTTCTCGTAGAGGTGACACAGAAGGTGAGACCAGGCAAAGACCACACCTAAATTCTGCTGCCTCTGCAACCCTCCCTTTCCTCATCTTGCTCCCAGCCAGGAGCCAGGACACGGAGCCAGCGGAACTCACCGCTGTGCTTGCCCTCCCTTTCCTTTTGTTTTTTCCTCTCCCCCTGCCACTGCCAGAGGAAGAGCAGGAGAGTCCACCAGTCACACGCTGCTCTCCGCACAAACCTGCTCAAGCCATTCCC